AAACTTATGCCTATTCATTTATATCAGCAGAGTAGTAACTGCGGATCGCGTCCTGCTTCTTCAATGCGCCTTAACAACCCTGCTACTATATCGCCGACTTCTCTTCACTTTTCTCGTCTACCCAGCCTTGCCATTACATTGCCGCGACTTATCTCGCTTGAAAAGGAGCAACAGTTGCATTTGCAATTGCTACACATACCTTAGCTCACGAAGTTAGAAGTGATGGGTTCGTTCAACTAACCTACCGTTACCCTTTCCTCCCTCGAAATGACTAACGCATTAAGGCTACTCACATCCCTCTCCGCTCCAGGATATCGGAAAACATACCATCCCCACAAGATCTCCTTGCACAAAAATGCCTTTCGCGGACGCGTCATATGCACGCACTCTAACGACAAAAAACTGTTAAATAAACAGTGTGTCCAAAACGCCCGCTTACGCGCACTACTGGACGGACCATCCCTGCTAAGCCTATTCAAAATGCACGTAAGAAAAACACAGGAAATAACAATCAAGAGTAGTTGCCCTGAAGAGGGCCTTCGCAGCGTTTTCATAGCGATCCTTACATTCCTGGCAAACTACTACATCAGCGCTCCTTTCCGCTGGCAGACTCCCACGAACGTAGATTTCAATTGCACTCATTTCTTCTTCACCTTCATCTCCATCTTCATTTCATTCACTAAGTCTCATTATACCCATTAACACAAACTCATTCCTTATATTTCCTTCATAATCATTCTTTTTTCAACAATTCTATTTATATGAATTAACACACACACTTCGTTCTTATATTAACTTCATTATCATTAATTTTATTCACCAGTTTTCATTATATGAATTAACACATACACTTAATCCATATTGCCTTCATTTGCAACATATTTAACATTACGCTTTCAATATTAACACAATTAACATAAATTACACTTTCTCGACTTTCCCTGCCCATCTTCTTTGTCAGCATCTCCAACTGTGACATTAAGGCTACTTCCTTGCATACTTTATCATCATCCATTTGCCCTTCATTACACATCCCCATCGCGTACACGCACAAATACTTGTCTATTGCAAACCCTTGACCTTGAATTCCATTGGCTGCCGCTCGTGTTGATTCCTGATCCCTTACGATTCATTCATGGCGGTTTATTCAATTGCCTAAAACTTATTTAATGCTAATATACGCGCATTTTTTTCATTTACGCGGTCTACGCCGGCGCTATGTAGCCACCGCAACTAGCAAATTCAATTAAATTTACCGACTTTTTACACTTAGTTCTCCACGCATTCTTCATTATTCATCCTGTTTCCCCACCCATAAAGCCCTCAATCCCACCAGCCCCATCAGACAGAAGACTAGGATTTAAAAACCCCAGGTACACTACACAAGCTACTTTTGCCTAAGCTTATTAACTAAGATTTTAGAAAATACGCAAATAGCACGGACGAGATAAGAATTGTATGGAAAAGTGTATAAAGATGTGAAAATAGACGAATGGAACTTATCAGGACGTTGGTACACATGTGCGGTAAAGGGAGCACCAGAGCCGGTTGCTGAAAGTATGTACAATTGATTAAAACAGTTGTGGTTCGGGTTGGTACGTTACACGCGTACAAAAATTTTAGGGAAAATGTATGAGATGCGAACCAATTAATGCAGACAGACGCAAACGGCGGCCGCTTATTGGCGCAAGTATCAAATGAATTTTGGTGTTTAAGCAGGTTTGAAAAGTTTACTATTTTTGCACATTTATTCAAGTCTGATGACAACGTGTAGAACCAACGTCGAAAATTTATCCAATAAAGCTGGAAATTTTTCCCAAAGAACCTATTTGCTTTCAAATAGTTGCATGTGCCGAAACCCTAGTAGCTCAGTAGCATGGTCTCGCTAATCGGCCTACAGTTGGCCAAGGGTCCGAGCCCAGTCAGTTTTAGTCAAGATCACAATCCTACACAAAACAGACTCCCCAAAACACGCAAAATGAGCTATTAGACGTTAATATATTTTGATGCACTATACTGAGGCTACCTCGATTTACCTTCCTATTTCAGAGACGCGGATAACGTGGAGCTAGCGGAGCTGCTGGAAGCGCTGAAATCTGTCCGCCCAGAATTTGAGAACTTGCTATCTTTCTCCTCAACACCTAGCTCGGCCACTCAAGCAAAGGGGCCTCCGTCTCCAGGCGGATCTGTAGAATCAGAAGGACGCCCGGGTAGTGAGTATCCTTGTGAGCTAGATGAGACGGGAGCGACCGCGCAGGAACAGGCGCTTGCTCTGGCTTGGTGCAACTCTTCCCAACCGAAAAATTACCTGATGGCTACACTAAAATGGGTCCTTCAAGAACAGTACGTCCGGGAGATTCAAGATCCGCTTGACAAGGCCAGGCTCCCAATCGAAGTAGTCAACAAACGATTGGTAGGTGCAAATATCAAGGCCAGGGATTTACTCATGGGCACCCATCAACTCACTGACTGATCAAGCCAAAGGACTAATTTTTTTAAAGTATTTTGCACTGTGAATAAACAACATGCTGCACCTCAGTTGGCTTCCGTTGAATGAAAGATTTTTTATTTTGATTCCAAGTGACAACATGCTCCGAAGC